TCTAGCATTTTTTGCCTGACGTTTGTTTTGTATAGCGCAGCACAAAGAAGGTAGCCTGGAGCCAAAAAAATTTGTCGGTTTGAAATTTTTCTATGTTAATTAGCGCATACTTAATTTATACTTTTCAATCATTCTGTTTCTCCTGAGAGGTTTCTGTAGTGTTCTATTCAAGGTTTTTAGGACATCTTAACCCGGGACATAAGCGAAGAATATGAGAAACTCGAAAAGCTTGGAGAGGGTAGCTACGCTACAGTGTTCAAGTGCAAATCAAAGTAAGTGCTCGTGCTCTTAGAATAAAATCAAAACCTGCAGCCACTCCATCTCTAATACAACCCATGATCCAGGACTGATGGTTCTATAGTAGCACTAAAAGAAATAAAACTGCAATTCCAAGAAGGTCTTCCCTTCACAGCCATTCGAGAAGGTTTGAAATATACAATGTAATTTTATTTGACCAAGTAAATTAAAAGCTCATCGTCAGTTTCAGCATCGCTTTTACGAACACTACGCCATGCGAATATTGTATGCCTTCATGACATATTTCACCAACATAATCGATTGACTTTCGTTTTCGAATATATGGTAGGTGACAGTTTCATCAGTAAACTAATTATCCAAAAAACTGATAGCTTTAGAAAATGGATCTCAGCAAATTTCTCGAATGTCATCCTACAGGTATAGATTGCCTACAAATCGAGCTTTTGCTGTTTCAACTCCTTCGCGGACTAGATTTCTGCCACAAGAAAAAGATTTTGCACAGGTCTGCAACCAATGAACACTTCAGTTCACACTTATAGCCGTTTCCTTTCAGAGATCTCAAACCTCAAAACCTCCTTCTCGACGAATTTGGTGTGCTAAAACTAGCAGATTTCGGCCTGGCCAGAGCAAAATCGGTTCCCAGCAGGACCTATTCTCATGAAGTAGTTACTCTTTGGTATCGGCCACCTGATGTGCTTCTTGGTAGCACGGAGTACTCAACATCACTTGATATGTGGTAAGTTTGGTGAAGGAAACGATGCATGCAGACAAATGCAACTATAGAACAATTGAAAACTCTTTTTCTAACTCCTCATACAAACCAAAAAATATGCAGTTTGAAATCCTTAACTGTTAATTTTAACCAGCAAACATGGCTCTTTTTTGCATGTGATTGAGCCAACAAAATGCACGGTCGAACTATCAAAGAAATCTCAAATTTCTCAAATTGTTATTATTTCCTCTCAACATACCTGCGAAAGCTGAGCATGCACGTCCCTGTATGACAAGGATCACGTCAAACATCTGCACTTTGAGTAGAAGGGATCGTCGAAGGGGAAGAAAAATAGAGGGAGGGAGGAGGGGAAGGAAAGGCTAAGCCCTTTGACATTTTCAGGTCCCCTTCGCTTCGTCATAGTTCTTTCAGTAAGAAAGATCCTCAGTTCACTCATCACCTCTGAGCACTATGGCCCCTTCAGAACTTCTCTTAAAAAAGTTAGCGATATGAGAGGAAATCGATTTAAGAAGGTATTAAGAAGACGGACGTAATCCTTGCCAGTACATTTCAGAGAAATTCAGCTTTAAAAGGGAGTCTTCTTGATAAAGCTT